CTGAGCTAACATCTGTTGCCAGTCCTCCTCTTTCTTCTTTTTTTTGCCTCCAAAGCCCCAGTACATAGTTGTATTTCTTAGTTGTAGGTCATTCTGGTTCTTCTATGTAGGATGCCACCACAGCATGACTCGATGAGCTGGGCCAGGTCCACACCCAGGATTTGAACCAACGAACCCTGGGCGGGAGAAGCCAAGCACGGGAACTTAACTACTTGACCACGGGCTGGTCTCCCAAAAACTTTTAAAGTGCCATGTGATCTGACAAAGCATGTTTGAAAACGAGACCTCCCCCACTCCCCACACAGCCCACTCCAGGGCTGCCACACAGCTCTGTGGTTTAGCAGAAGATGCAAGAACACGGACTTGCATTCCAGAGAAAACCCGGCTTTGCTGCTGTTTGGGCAAGTTCCTTGACATCTGCAAGTATGTTTCTTTATCTGTAAAATGGGAACAAAAATAGAATAAGGATAAAGGAGACATGGCAGGTGCCTGGCACATAGCCCCCAGTTCAATCGTAGCTGTACTAGTAATGAGGGGGTAGCAAAGGGCCTGGGGAATTTTGGGGAGAGAAAGAGGAATGACAAACAGGACAGCCATAGTGTCAGCTGGCGTGCGTGGTCACACAGGCAGGGCAGTGTGGAAGCTTGCTGTGTGGCCTGTGGGAACGGGACTGAAGATCCAGGGACCCACCTTTGATCAATGGACCCAGGTTAAGATACTGCCAACCAAGCCAGAGACCCAGTGCCCGGGGCCTCCTGTCCTGCTGGTGGCACTGCATCTCTGAGAGGCTCTCCCTGTCGGGGGGTCGCCCGCGTGTTCTGTGCCGCCGCCCAGCAGTTGGTTGTCTGAGCCTAACTGCAGTTTACATCTGTGCTGGCTGTAGTCCATCTTCTTAGTTTGGGGCCTGACATTCCAGCCTGTCAAGATTCTGTAAGGAGATGTATTAACTGCCCCTCCCGAGATCCTTCTTTTGTAGTTTGGATAAAATTTTCACCAGAATCAGTTAGGAGTCTCTTGATTGCAAGCAACAGACACTCCAAACCAAGATGGCTTAGCAAAAAGGAAATTTATAGCCTCGTGCACTGGTATATGCAGGGCATAGGGCCAGCTTCAGGTGCAGCTTGATGTGGGTTAGATGATGAAGCCAGGACCTAGTTTCTCTTTGTTATCTTCCTGGATGGGGTCCATTCTCAGGCAGCCTCTTCCCAGCTGCAGCTCCACATCTGAACATATCCGAAGTAGGTGGGACGCCCCAAAAGTCCAAAGAAAGCATCCCTGTGTAGAGTTTCATTGACTATGGATAACCTAACATAGCACTTGGGGGTGCTCCCACCCTTGAACCAATCAATATTCCAAGAGGAATATAATGTGCTGATCGCTAGGCCAGGGTGGCATCAGCCGTGAATGGGGTGCTGATATATGAAATCAGCGTCCCCCGGATCCAAAGATGGACGAGGGGTGAGAAAGAGGTGCGGACCCCAGAGCTAAATCAGGTGCAGTTGCCTGAAGTAGAATGAATGGATGCTCGGTGCCCCACTCTTTCTGTAAGAAAAACACCCAGAATATTCACCTTATCTTTGGTGCAAAGTATTGTTTAAATTGTGGCTATAAAGCACAGCATCGAACACCCTGCTGATCACCAGGGCTGGCTCTTCTGACCTGGGACCCCCTTTCCTATCTCACCATCTCTTAGAATTGCACAGACCTGATTAAAGAAAGCAAGAGAACTGTTTTTCCACAAGCGTATAGACACATCCAATAGAACTTTTTTTGGGCCCTTAGAGACCTTCCACACCAGCCATGAATCCATCTAGACATGAATTCGTCTGACTGTGCCATAATTCAGCCCATGTGTCTTCACCTAGAAAAAGTTTTGTGTGTTTTTTTGTTTAGTCAAATGATTCATAGTTCTAAACACCTGGCGGAAGTCCACGTGAACTCTCTCTGACGTCCCGCGGGCCAGAGTCCCCATCAAAAAAAAAAGAAAGAAGGACTCTTCAAGAAGCCGAGCAAACTCCGAGAACACAGCTCTCTTTGTTCACAATTGCTTAAAACCCATACCTTGACGATTGTCAGCCTAACATCAACCAGTCTGTAGTTCCTAGACAGCCCCAAACCTCCAGCTTCCCCATGTTGGAAATCACGACACAAGGAAAGACATGGCATTTGTACGCAGCGGCTCACAGCAACATAATCCCAGAGGAGATAATGTCCAACAACAGGGCCTGACCAAGAAGACAGGGTGAACCCAAAGAAAAGCTCTCCAAAATGACATGCATTGGGTGGAACCATATGCCATGGCCATTTTTGTAAGTCAACAATAGTTAAATACCAACAATTTCATATGATCACAACCAAATACACTAGGACAGTGGTTTTCAAAGTGTGGACACAGACTCCTTGTGGGGGAGGGGACCATGTCCCTTTCAAGAGGAACACGAGGTCAAAGTTATTTTCATAATAATACCAAGATGTTATTTGCCTTTTTCATCATGTTGACATTTGCATGGACAACAGCAATGGTGGACAAAATTGGAAAAATTATATAAGGCTGGATTTCCTTCACTTATTTCAGCTAAGACACCATTATTGCGACAGGCCGAATGCAGAAGCAGACACGACAATCCAGCTTTCACCAAGCCAGACAGCAAAGAGATTTGCAAAAATGCTAAACAGTGCCCTTCTTCCCACTAATTTTTTTTTGTTTTAGAAACTATTTTTCATAAAGGCATTTTATTTATGTTTATGTTAACATGCAATGTGTATATTACTGTTCTATTTCAATGAATTAAAAAATACTTTTAAGTATCATTTGAATTTCCAATGTGGTAAGTATCAATAGATGTAACCCACATAAACAAAAACTCTCTGGGGTCTTCAATAATTCTTTAAAGTGCAGATTCCTGAGACCAAAAATCGTGAGAACGCGTATATTAGGACAAACTTCAGAGAAACATACGTGAAATGAAGTGAAAACACTCAGAACGATGGGAAAGCGTAAGAATGTGAGAGAGCGCTGAGTTCAGAGACCACAATATTTTTTAGAGATCAATTTTTAAAAAATAGAAAAGTACAAAAAGTACAAAAAATAATGAAACCATCACCCAGGGCCTCAGTACCCATAACCAAAAATTAACATTTTGTAATATTTGCTTTGAGTCTTTAAAACAAATTAATTAATTAATGAAACTTTCCAGCTAAAGTGTCCATTCTCACTATTATTCCAATTCTCTCGCTTTTGAAGTCTATGAACGTTCACATATTTGTTAAGCGCTGTATAGTATTCCATTAAATAAACGTTCCATGTTTTATTTTATTATTTCTCAACCACAAATAATGACAATGATAAACTTCTTTCTACTTGCAGAGGTTCATAAACTTATAGTGTCAAAAATCTTCTTAGTTGACTAATTTTCTCCAGCAGGCTCAGCTTCCTGCAGCCTCAGTGTCTGTGGTAGACAGAATAAAGGTCTCCTGAGGATGTCCATGTCCTCATTCCCAGAATCTGTGAACATGTTAACTTACATGGCAAAGGGGAATTAGATTGCACATAGAATTAAGGTTGGTAGTCGGTTGACCTAAAAGTGGAGAGATTCTCCTGGATTATCTAGGCAGGCCAAATGTGATTACAAGGGTCCTTGTAAGTGGAAAAGGGAGGCAGAAGAGAGAGAACCAGAGATGTGGCATGCGAAAAAGACTTGGTCGGACATTGCTGGCTCTTAAAATAGAGGAAGGGGCCACAAGCCAAGGAATGCAGGCAGTATCTAGAAGCTGGAAAGGCTAGGGACAAGATCCTCCCCTAGACGAGAACTAGATTCTTCTCTCCAGAAGGAACACGTTCCTACCCACTTCTGGATATTAGTGGTGTGCGGCTTCTGACCTCCAGAACTGTAAGACAAATTTGTGTTTTCTAAACTACTACATTTGTGGTCATTTGTTACAGCAACATCGAAAAGGAATAGTCTGGCAGTGGTGGGATACAGACGGCAGATGTTTGGGGTTTGCTGTGTGAAATGAAGACCCATGGGTTAAGGATCTTGGCGAGAAAGTGGCTGGAATGAGGGTCCTTGGAAGCCTGACCTGATGGGCAGAGAAGAGAGAAGGAAGTGAGAAGGAGAGGCGCGGGCGGGCTGGGCATGTGCTGAGGCTGGAGCACAGGTGCAGTGGGAGTCACTGGGAGGCAGCCAGAGGCTGTTTGAATTTCTAATGCTGGGTGGGGCCCTCAGGGGAGGACAGGGATCTAGGAGTGACCTCCGAGAGGGTGGCTGCGGCGGAGGGAAGGCGAAGGTCCCTGGGAAAGCAGAGGTGAGCCAACTCAGAGGTCAGAGGAGGTGCCGGGACTTTCCTGGGGAAATCAGCTGCACGGGCCTGATCCTATGCAAATTCCCTACCATCCCCATCTTGCCAGGGGACCATCTGTGCCTGTGGAGGTGTGCATAGGATGGAGGGTGCATACGATCCGGGGTGGGGTGCATACGATGGGAGGGTGCATACGATGGGGGAGGGGGGTGCATTCGATGGGGGCTGTGCATACGATGGGGGATGCATATGATGGGGGGTGCTAATGATGGGCGTGCGCACGGCTGGGCAGGTGTGTGATGCGTTCCCGTACACCGCTGAGTAGGGGGGTGTTGTATGTGGCATGTGATCTACAGTGAGAGGACTGTGGGGGACAGTTGTCTGTCTGGGGAACATGCGGATGAGGGGGTCTCTGTGTCCATATTTGGGGCATTCGTGGGTGTTGTGGGTGTCCGGCTGCGCAGAGGGAGAACGGGCCGTGTGCGCGCTAGGGGACGGGCGGGGGTGTTGGGTGCACAGGGATGTGGCAGGTGCGTGCGAGGGAGTGTGCGGGCCTGCAGCTTGGCGGCGGGGACAGTGAGCACAAGGGGCCCAGGGAGGTGGCCGGGGAGTCGGCCGGCGCGGCTGGCCCGGCCCGGGCCCGTAGGTGCAGGCTGGCTCCGCCCGCGGGCGTCCCCGCTTCCCCGCCTCCTCGCCTGCTCCCTCCCCGTCCCTGTCGCTGCGCGCTCGCGGCCCCAGAGCCACAGCCGCCGGCCGCCGCCGCCTCCTCCCCAGCGCTGGACGCCGCCGCCGCGGGAAGCAGGTATGACAGGCGACCCCGGGCGCACGCAGGTGGCCCTGGCCCGGCGCCCCAGCCCTGCGCTCTCCCGCCTCAGTGTCCCACCCGGGCGCTTGGGCGACTGGCGGCGGCGCTGGCGGCACTGAGGCGACTCAGGGCAGGGGAGGATGGGAGGGTAGAAAGAGTCCCCCGGGGCGGGCGGCGAGGCGCCGGGCGGGGGGACGGCCGCGGAGTCCCGGCGCGGCGGGCCGGTGGGCCAGGGAGGTTCAGGAGGATGACAGCAGCGACGCGGGAGCGCGCCGACGGCCGGGAGGCGAGGGAAGCGCAAGGCTGCGCTGCAACGACCCGCCTCCGCCCACACAGCATCCCTGAGCGGTGGGCCGCCTGGGTGTTCCCGTGTTACAGAGGGGAACGCTGAGGGTCAGAGGGTGGAGGAGCTTCCCTAGGTCCCGGGGACAAGTTGCCCGGCCCAGGCTCGAACCCGGGGAGTCTGGCCCCAGAGCCTACCTCTTGGCCCCCTCTGTCAGTCGGTCTGGGGGAACGTGGGTGTGTTCTCTGAGCTTCCCCGTTGGGGCCGTGCTGGGGAGGACGCCAGATCCAACCCCGCTGCTGTCTATCCCGCGGGGTGGGGACATGTCCAGAGAAGTCCTATGGCCTCGGTGTGCTGGAGCAGGGGGAAATTGGGGACAGAGGTGTGCGGCATGATGCGATGACCTTCCCCACTGGGGTGGAGGGAGAAACTGAGGCAGGGGGAAGTTGAGGGAGGAAGCAGCAGAGCTTCGTTCCCAAGAGGCACAACAGCGCCCCCAGCTCGTCTCCGGCCGGGATCGCAGGCCGCCCGGGCAGCCAGCCCTGAGAGAACCGGTGGGGGACCTCTGGCAACCCTGCCCCGGCCCTGAGCTACCCCGGGCCTTCGACATCCACAGAGGCCCGACCGACCTACCCACCGAACTATGTCATTCCTCAGGGACGCGTGGATCGGTTCTCCTTTGTCTGTAACCTGCCCTCCCTGCCCCGAGAAGGTAACTGCCTTCATAATTTCCTTCTAGGCCTTTCCTACACCCATGCAGTCATATATATGCATACCTGTAGAAAGTATGTAAACTGCATAGCAATGTTGTGGGTGGATGTTTACTAGAAATGGTATAATACATCCACATCATTCTGCCACGCAGCTTCCCTCACCCCGCCTCGAGTTATCACGTCCTTGAGAGTTATGCGCGATGCTGCGTGTAAGTCTTGCTTGTTTATTTCAACTGCTGCGTGGTTTTCCACCAGGAGCATGCCTGCTGATAGGCACTTAAGTGGTAACAGTTTCAGGACTGGTTTTTATCTCTTTGTTCTTTGTCCTAAACTAACTTCACAGGATCTGAATTTGGGGGGAGAAGTCCCCTTTTCTCCATTGCACACGCACATGTATGCACACATGCATGTATACATGCATACATAAGGTATACACACATGCACGGGTGCACATACACACATCTCTATCCTGTCTGTCTGTAGGCGATGACAAACACTATACCTGCTTTAGCTGCCATGTCCGCTGAGCCCAAAGGCCTGGGGCTGAGCCAGGCCACAAGCTCTGCCTGTCCAGGCCCAAATGGGCAGAATTCCCATAAGGGACTGCATCCAGGGGTCCTTTCTAGATGCCCCGGTGCCACCCCCCACCCTCCCATAGGAAACGGAAGGAGTTAGGAACCGCGGCTGGCAGATTGGAGTGTCCAGCGTCCTATTTGTGTACCTCCGACTCCCCAGGTCCCGGCTGTGGTGTGAGAGTGTGCTTGCCCTGGAATGTGTGGCAGGAACATCACAAGTTTGGTGGAATGCCTGATAACAGCCAGTTGGGGAAAAGCTGGAATCAGAGCCGCTTGCATTCCAGTCCCAGCTCCCCCACTTCCTCCTTTGGGCAGTTCCCTTCCCTGTCTGAGCCACGGTTTTCACATCTGTGACACAGAGATGATGACAGTGGCAACCTCCCAAAACTGTTGAGTGGATCAGAGGGATGACGAAACAAAACTCTGAGAGTCTCGTCAGCACTCAGTGAGCAAGAAGTCTCAGCCTGAACCAGGGAGCCCCCGGGACGGCCCCAGGGTGGGGGTGACCTCAGAACCACCATTCGGGACCTCGTCGACACACCAAGCGCAGGCTAGAGAATCCTGAGTGCTGAGTGGGACGCAAGGTGCGATTTCTGCTTGCAGAGAGCCAAACCCAGCTCTCAACGAGAGATCCAGAGTCCAGAAATGTCCCAGCACCTACAAAGGGCCTACCGTGTGCTTGGCCTTGAGCTAAGACGCAGAAACGAAGGGGGCAGAAGTCACAAACGGGGCCCAAGGGCGGCTTCCAGGAGGCCCATGCTCCTTATGAAATTTTAGCTTACTCTCAACATTTTAAAAAGCGGGAGATGTCACATAGAACTCCATATTTCTGGATCCCCTTGAGAAAAGAGGATCAGAAAGGCTGACAATTCCAAGTCCAGCATTTGGCTGCCCCCTTACATGTGCCACAGTGCCCTGTGTGTGCCCTGGAGGGTGCCACAGTCCCCGCCTGGGCCCCCGCCATTCATAAAGAGCAGGATAATGTAAAAGTTAATCATGTAGAGTCACAGCCAGCTGTGACATCCCAGCTCTGCATCTGAGTTGTGTGGTCTCAGGCAAATTATTTAGCATCTTTGTGACTTTCCTTCCTAACATGTAAAATGGGGATAATAAGTAGCACTTGCCTCAAAGGATTATTTGAGGCATTAAATGAGTCAACACACCTAAAAGTCTTAGAACGGTGCCTGGTGCCGGGTAAATACTGTCTGAGTGCTGATGCTGCTGATGCTGACGCTGATAATGGTGGCCTTAGCTTGCCTGGTCCCTGGAACAGTACAATTTATACTCCCAATTGCACTCCATATAGAATGCTATGGAAATACAAGTGCAGGAGAAAGGAAGGAAGGAAGGGAGGAAAGTAACACTTTGAGTGTCTTCTTCAAATAAGATGCCACAACCCTAGATATTTTTCTGCCCAAGGACAGGAAGAGGACCACATTTCAAGGAAACATACAAAGAGGGGACTTCTAAGGTGGGTTTTGAAGGATGAGTAGGAGTTTCTCTGGAGCCATGGAGTGAGAAAGGCATTTCCACACAGAGGAAACAGCCTTTACAAAGGCCTGGAGGCATGACCAAGTGAAGCATGTTTAGGAAGTGACAAGTGACAATATGACTTTGAGGTAAGGTATCTCAAAGTATAGGGAGAAGCAGGAAGATGAGTCTGGGGAGACAGAAAAGGACCTTGAGATCATGATGGGGCTTGCAGCAGGAAAGGGGATGAGCATTTCTTGAGCACCTGCTGTGTGCAGGTTCCTCTATACTCGCCACCCTATAGTCCTCATAATGCCCCTGGGAGTCAGGTCTCGTGATCCTCATCTTACTGATGAGTTAGACAGAGGCTCAGAGAGGGAAGCCTCTCGCCAAGAGCTTGCACAGTGGGTGGGGCAGAGCCGGGGTCGGCTGATGTGAAAGCCCGTGCACCCTCTCTGAGTCTCCATTTTCTCATTGTGAAGTGGGGGTGGTAGCAGTAAAACCCACTGCAGAGGTTTGTTGTGAGGACCCCATGGGAGAATGGATGTGCGGCTCTTAGCACAGTCGCTGGCACACAGCAGTGCTGCCGTTATTCTGATGGGAACAAAGCCCGCGTCCCTGCAGGCCTCTCGGCCCAACCTAGCCTAGAGAAAACCTTCAAATGTGGTCCCCTCTGTCCACCTGCATCCGCCTTGCACCGGAGAAGTGGAGAGATGGTGGGAATTCCGCTGTCAGTAAAGACCAAGGCTGGAGGGCGGGTCCTGGAACAAGTCACGCCCCCTCAGCGCAGGAGGCTGGAAAGAACCATTTCTTTACAGATAGGAAAATGGCCAAGGGGCTTAGTGGAGTCTGCAGGGTTATTATCCTTTAGAACTTGCTCGCCTTCCTCCTCTTGCAGCCTCCAGCCGGCTCACCTTGAGGGCCTGGGGCAAGATTTGACTTTCAGAGGAGCTGTTTCTTAGTGAAGGGTGCCCAGGCAGCTGAGAACTCATTTTCCTCCCCATAAAAAGCCTGTTATTGGAGGCCTCTCTGTGCCTGCGGGCTTTGTGGGCAGCCTCTTCTCCCTGGGCCCCGTGAGACCATGTGTCCTGGCACAAGTTCCTAGCGGTAGGAAATGGTCCCACGACTCTGCAGTGAGGACCATTAAGAAGCTCCCAGGTCAAGTGACAAGGAGGTAAGTCCAGGTAGGTGACAGTCACATCCTGGAGAGGACCTCTGATGGAGACGCAGCCCCCTCTGCACGTCCTTTTCAAAGCACTGATCAAGAGTGGGAGGCAGTATGGCCTAATGGGTAGAAGCATGGGCCTTGCCAGAAAGCTCGACGTTGCTAGATCTGCCTACATAAGAATTAATAATTTCTGCGTGACCAAACACCTATAAGCCCAGGCATGTCAAACTAGTAAAAATATTTGCCACTTTTATAACAAAGAGTTAATTTCACGGAGAGCTCTTCCAAATTAAAGACCAACCACCAACCATCCAAAAAAGAAAAGAAAAAAGAGCAAAAAATATGATTCGGCTGTTTACATAAAAGAAATAAAAATTGAATTCGAACAGGCTCAAAGATGCTCAACCATACCCCAAAAACAGAAACGCACAACAGAACCACACTGATTTTGTTTTCCACACGCCCAGATGGCTCGGTAACACTCAGTGTTGGTGGAGAAACCAGGACTCTCAGACTGTGCTGGCAAGAGCAGAGATCGGTCCAACCTCGGGGGGACTTAGGCAAACTGTCGATGTTTAAGATGCCAATACCCCTTGCCTCTGTAACTTCAGCTCTAGGAATTTACCCAGTGGACATCCTTGCATTGTACCCAACATGTTAGAACAAAGATAGTCAGCACTGTGTGTGGCAGCAAAAGATCGGAAACCAAATAGCATTCATCAGAAAGGAACTAAATACTATACATGTCGAAACAGGCACGAGAACATATGCTGCGGCCATTCAAAAGA